CCCGCTCTGGATCCGGTCGTACTGCCGGTCTCGACGGACCCCGTGTTTACGAACTCGGCCTCGATGTCCCGGCTCATCGAGCTTGGTAGCGAAAATCTCCATGTCAACAAAACCGATGAGGTACGCGTAAACTCTCAAGTATGGATGGTTTTCTGATCGTGTACACAGATGACATGGTTGCGTGGTGCATACCCTACAAACGATGAAGGGGTTGTGGAGTTCAAAACTAAGTACCCTGGGTTTTGTAAGTTGGATAGTTGCCCAAGTAAAGTGATATCTGACCAGTTGGTTCTCTTCAGATACTGGCCGCGCAATTCATATCCGTAAGCGCAAACAGGTTAGCCCCACAAGCTCTAATGCCTAATATATCCGCAGATACGATGGTTTCGACCAATTGGACCTACCTTTCAAACGGGTACGCCAGTGGCAACTAAAACCACACGTTAGATTCTAATATTTGTTCAAGGACTGTAATTTCCAACTCTGGAAATCTTCGTCACATTGGACAAATCTTCTTCGATGAAGACCTCAACGACCAGGTACGCTCCTTTTAATTCCATGCTTCAGTTGCTCAATGCACACATATTCAGGTCTTGTCGACTCCCGCCTATCAAAATTCCACCCAAACCAGGCTACCAAACTACCGTGACACTCTCCTTGTACTTGAAAACGCTCACGGATACAATGCATTTGCAGAGTAAGCCTCATCATATCCTAAACAGTCGAAAGATGCTGAATGTTGATGATCCCGCTAGTCACGTAATGCTGGGTGACGCAATCACAGATGGTATTTTGGCTTACATCAGTAAGTCACAGCCCGCTCATTGGCTATGATAAGTCACGAATTGAACGTTGTTATAACAGCCATTGGAGTCGATACAAGTTTCCAAACCTCTATATTCACAAATAACACCTGGCAGCCTACTCCTAGTGGCCCTCAGGAAACGAGTAATGCTCCAAAGGCTACTTCTGCCAACAAGCCAGTTTTGAGCTCCCGGCCTCACGCGTGATTCCCCGGCCGAGCAAATGGCTACATTTTCAAGCTCTCATGATCATGCTTGTGATCTCATTCTATTTCCGTTTCTGTGATAATATTACTTCCGCTGTTTTGGAAGGGCAGGCCCCTTGACGCTAGGCGATGGAGAAGCCACTGAAGTTTGTCCAGTACTCTTACCTGGTTCTGAAGTTCGAGTAGATTATGGTGCGGTTGGTATCGTCCGGTGTGTGCTCGGCTAAAGAGTAACTCGGCCAGGTTGAGCTCCTTGTCTGAAAACACGTGAAACGGCACACTCATCAGTTCAGCTTTTTCCCTGAACGAAATGATCTGCTCAAGCACTCCCGAGAGCAAGAATGCGTGGTCCCAATTTCGATACCGCTTGGAGCGGTCGGCCAATCCAAGGCGAGCAAGTGGTGCTGTTCATGAGGATCAAACAAGCGTAGGTAGTATAATGGTTATTATTTCGGTTTCCCATCGGATGACCCGGATTACCGGAGATGGTACCGAAGAACTGAGTTCGATTCTCGGCCTACGCAATGTTTTTACCCGCTTAAGTCGTATTTTACTAGTCCCAGATGCCTCTGGCAGCGCTGACCGGTCGACCACTCGCCATCAAAGGCTGACTAAGAGGGCGCACGTGCTCATGCATATATATGTATTTAATACATCTTTAGCCAACTACATGATTGACACGTTGAAATATTGGGGCGGGAAAAAGATTCATCCTGACACATTGGCGCCGTGTCGGCGTAGCGAGACTCACCGATTATTTGTGGTAGTTATATGCGTCCCATCCAAGCAAGGTGGACACATAGTAGAACTTACGCCATCCCTGTTTAGAGCCAAGCCCCCAAACTAGGGTGCTGCGGAGGTTGGAGCCCACACGTTGCAATTGACACGCCACACAAGTGAGCGTCTAATATTGACAGCAAACATGAGGACAATTACTATAACAGGATGGCGCAAATTAGATAGGGGCTTCTTTATGCTTCGACTTATATGATGCGCGCGTCAGAAAACGTTTGAGGGTTACCAGGTGCTCAGCGGCAAGGAGCCTCTGTATAAAATAGCCAAGGCATACAAGTTCGGCAACGCTGCAGGCCCCTCTCTTCATCGCTTCTAGCTACAAAGTATACTAGAGCTCATGTCTGAATCGGATTTAACAAATAATAATGGTGTGTAAAATAATCGAGGATTCCTTCTTCGATCCTAAGGTGCATCGCAGCAAGGCTACCTCGAGTTCGGGGCATGCCAGCTCCGAATGTGGCAGAGGGAAAGCAAGAACCAAGTTACTCGCGACCACTTCCGGATTCGAGCGTCAAGGAATTATTCGAGCGTCAATTCCTTGCTAAAACCTGGAACGTAGACACCAGCGTCTCATCAAGTGCCAAGCGCCGCGCACTAGTCGTATGTTGAGGACTATTCCGCATGTAGGATATGGCTGACATTGATTTTCTTCCTATCCCCCTTGAAGATAGCCGTTTCCTATGGACTCCGCTCGCCCCCTGGGGAACTTGGAGGCACATACACTGATGCATACAGAATAATTAACCTTCTAGGTACGTGAATCGTATATTCGACAGCCATCTAGTTCATTGCCTACACAGTTGGAAACTTTGGATACCCGGAGAAAGAAATATGCGTTTTAGCCGACCCGATTGGGAAGGACGGCGAAAAGAATAAAACTCATTGGCCATCGCAGGAGAATATCGTGAGTTCACAGCACTCTAAGGGTTTTCATTGGAACAATACGACCATATTCGAAGGTGCGAGCGTTAAAATGGCTTAACCGTGGATCACAAGAGGGCGACTACCGGTTTTTATATTGTGAGTACGCCTGGGTTCCGTGAATCTTAGTTCACGCTAAACTTAATCCACCGCTTTGTAGTTGCGGGACACGGTTATCGCCGCCTCGAAAATAATTCTGAAAATACCTACGAAGGTAAAATGTTTCCTTTCCCAGCCATTTTCAGGAGACGCGCGTAGCTATACCTTTCATTCAGGGATCATGCCGGCAGATATCGAATTCACGACGTACACCGCATGCGCCGACTGTACCTGTGGACTAAAGGATTGGTCGGGCTATGTTTCCGACAAGAAGAATGTTATCCCGTATCCTAAGATGATAGTCTGGGATTACGTTAGTGCTCTCAATGAAGATTCCCGGGATATACAGCTGACTGCCTGGCTGGCCTAGACGTTGAATCAGTTACTCGCTTCCTCTCTCGCAGATGGGGCAAACCTCACGGTAAGTATGTCGTTGGTCTCACTACAGTTGTACTAACCGGCTCATTGACTCTAGGTTGTGTTTGACGTAAGTTTAGTGGAGTGATTCAGTTGACTCATCTAACCTCTTTTCGATGCACCACCAGTGCTGTCACAGTGGGGGCACCCTCCAAAGTAAGATACCCGCAAGAAGACGTTCAAGAATGGCCATCTCACAAGCATTTATAGAATCATTTCCCGGCGGAGTCGACTGGATGACCCAAGCGGGGATCGCAAGAGGCGCGAATATGAGCAGGTTCTCAGTCCCTGAGCTCCACGACCAGCAAGACAAAACTGAATTACGGTGGAACCTACTATGTTAGTGATGCCCAATACGCACTGTTATTGTCATATGACCTGCTTTTAGGTCTACCGAAACGAGTTTCAGATTTAGCGGGTGAATCGGACCAAGTTTTGGATGCACCCCAACCACGATCGGGGCCCGCGTCGAAGGCTTGCCATCCGCATCTCGGGGTTCAGACTACAGTTTATGCATTCCGTCCAAAGTGTCGTGTGGTGAGCGATGGCGTTCCCTTTCGCGGCTCTATGCCACATTAACTAGTTACGTCGGCAGCTTTGCTGGGCGGCGTGCTCGGAGGTTCAACGTGCGTATGAGGACAATCCTGAGGATGGTGGCCGCTTCACCCAGGTGCGCGTTAGCTCTGGGTATGTTTGAGGTTTACGGACAGTGATATCTCGACTCGTAGGCCTTCTTTGAGCACCTGATTCGTAACAAGAACAGCAGTTACAGGGAGCTCAACAGGTATATTTTGTACGTGGTTCCGGTCGGGAATTCGCGCAAGCCATCTAAATATTTATTATCAGTGAGACATTTGAGCAACACAATTCAAGGGAAACTTCCAAGGACAATCATCAGGTGCCTCAGGTAGCTGTTCCGATGTAGTTTGGTTTCAACCGTACTCACTTGTCGTCAGTTGTATACATCCAGAAATATGGATAGCGTCGAATGCGGCGAAAACAAGTTTGAGCAGAAGGTTGATATATAAAGGAATACGTGTGAATTTAGGAGATTTGTAGGGATTGTGTTGAACGAGATAATGGACGTGCCGCTTAGGGCTCTTTGATGCCGTGTACCGAAGATGTTATGGTCTATCGTGTAGGGAATAGGTTGGAGTCTCACGAGTGGGTGTAAACCGCAACCCGTGAAGCAAAGAGGTATACAGGGCTATTGGACGCGTAAGAATATATGCAAGAATTTTTCGTAGTAGTCGCCGTAGCATCGAAGTGGTTGAGAGGCTAACAGCAGAGTCCAGGTCTAAATGATGTCGTAGCGAGTCTAAACCAAGCAAAATGAATGAATTAAGCGAGTAGGAGAGACAAGCGCCCGGTACTGTACAGTGAGCCACTCGACCAGCACCAAAGACGCGAAACTCCAACAAATAGGAACTCAGATTAGGACAAGCATAATACAAGCGGTCCACAACCTCCTATGTAGCGCAGTAATTTGCACAACACGGACTCGCTGTTTCAGTTGTTAACTTTATTGATTCACCTTAAGGGGAAATCCGAGTCTCACGTGAGCATCTAGTCACGTGACCTGTCCTCGGAACACTGCAAGTGCCCGTGGACCAACCGTGGACGGCAAGAGCTCAAAGTCGGGTGTAAGTCGATCTAACGCTCCTCAACAACGACCTAAAATGAATTCTTCGCGTTTGACTCGCTGTAGCCACCTTGGTCTTTCACCTCTCGACTCGTTTCGCTTGCCACGTTTCCCCACCGTTCTTGTCAATAGGCCAAGCTAGACAAGCCGAATGTCGCGAGCGTACTTTTCGCCCGACGGTCAACCTAGTGCGCCTGACCAGTACCAACAGTTTGCGGACTCGACATCTCAGACGGCTTCCAGTCATGATTCGGGTCCAGGTTCGGGTGGGCCAGAGGGGTACAGTCTTGTTTACGGCGATGGCACGTTTTCGAGCACCGATGGGGCGACGTTTGAGGAGAGGTTGAGGGCGTTGATGAGGCAGCAAGGAGACGAGCTCAGGTCCTTTGCGGAACGCGAGGGACGGAACGTTGACGAGGTGAGCGCCGGACGAGATGCTAGTTGACCACACAGCTAACCTATTATCTCCATGTAGATTCGGTCGCAGGCTGTGACGATGGCCAACACTTCTCCGCACGAGTTTCTGTATTCTGCCGCTATGCAGCCTCTTACACCCCAGGAAACGATTACCAAGATGGACGCTGCACTCGAACACCTGCATCAAGCTCTTGGCTATGACGGGTTTCTTGCGATCGTCACTCCTGTGGACGCCGATGGCGACGGTGGGATCACAGCCGGCACAAAAATCGGCCTCGAGTTTTGGAAAGGTCTACGCGGGGGCGGTCTAGCGGGTCTCAAGTCTCTCAAACTACGATGCAAGGCGAGCAGGGAGGCGATCGATCTAGGCCATGGAAGGTTGCCGAGTAACACCGGGACGCCGATGGGCGTGAGCGCGAGCCGGAAGAGTTTGGATATCAAGCAGGAGCTGAATAGCGCGATGAGGAATGCGTTGAGGGAGGCGGCTGGAGACCCGCTCGCGGAGATGAGGTGGACAAAGCCGGAACAGCTCGAAGGGTATGGTGTGCGGATTATTGGGTGGCCGCCGGAGATTGCGTTGCGGAATCCGAGCAATAATCCCGTTCGGTACGTCGCCTTTGTTGATCCGTCGTTCTTTTGCTTGATATTTGTCTACAGGGACAACAAAACTCTGCTCTCGCTGCTCAAGTCTGGTCAACTACGCTTTGTCAAGAAGGATTCCGCAGAGTGGGAACAAGCCGACCCTAGCACACTCGTCCGGGCTACCGCCCAGGCTCAAACCCAAGTGCAGACCCAAACGCAACATGCACCTGCCCAACTAGTCCAGCCTCCCCAACAGGCACCTCTCACACGCCCTCCTTCCTCCGGGTTCGTCCACCCCCACACACACCAACCACACTCCCCACACGCACAACAACCCCCACTCCCCCCAGCTCCAGCCACTCAACAACCCCCAGCCCAGCAAGCACCGCCGATGCAGCACCCGCAGATCGCGTATGTCTACCAAGTCCCGAGCGGACAGGGTTGGATCCCTCTCTCGGGCGTCAGCGTGTACGGCACGCCGTTCCCCGCGCCGCCGCAAATGGTCGTGGAAGGCTCGGCGGGTGATGGTGGGACGGTCAACGTCAGTCAGATCTCTACGCCTGATGGAAGTTCAACGACTGGAGGGGGAGCAACTCCGACGTCTTCGGGCGCAAAGAAACGGAGGAGTGATGTTCCGGCGGGAGTGGGAGC